GCATGTTATCTGTTTCTGTGGATGAGTAATTTCAAAAGATAAAGCATTGCATCAACATCTGTATTGGAAATAAGATAAGAGACATTGCTTGTCAGTTCACATAGCATGTCAATTCAATTTCGAGACATTTAAGTGGAAAACATGCAGAGAGAACAAAGATCAGTTCCATCAGCATTTTCAACAAAAGATGTTTTTTTAGCAACACAACATATTACTTTTTTCCAGGTTATTAAGAGTAAGACTATATCCAGGGCCGTGCATGCAGAGAGGACACCCACCTTGGCTTCAGATTCCCTGATGAGTCTCTGAGCCTCTTTGAGCTTGTCTTTTTCATTAGTTAACTGTGCAGATATAACACACACATACACACAAACACACACACACACAGGGGAACACATGTCACAGAAGACACACAGGGCAACAGAGAGGCAAAAGTGGGGGTGGGTTAGATAGACATAGAAGAGGAAGAACACTAGTACACTACAACAGGTACCGATACAAAACTCACAACAAACACAAAAAAGGCAGGAAAGAGAATCAGGGGAAAGAGGATGTTCCTTACACGTGAAAAATGGTAGTACAGTGTCATTTTCCCAGTTTGTATGAATGAGTTATTTGATGTGCAAAAGGTACTGTACTTTTACACCTAAAACAAGATGTAATCTATCTTCAAAAGAACATCAGTGTAAATCTCTGACGGCAGCATGAAAGGAACAAGGAGCAGCATCACTGACAGTTGGTGCACCTTCAAACCCTTTTTCCACTTTCCTATCTTTTTTTCTTTTTGGCATCGAGAAATACATCCAACTTAACACTCTAAGATGTGTGATGGGCCCCGATTTCACTGCACAGCCTTGGTTTTAGAAATGCACGCATTTTGCTTTGATATTTCACTGTGTGCAACCTTGCCGAAAAGCATGGGAAAGGGAGCGTAATCCACAGCAACTGAAATGTAATTTCCATTCCTACAGACCACCTCTTACTATAGACTGTAGATAACTAAATATTTAATGGGTAAAATGGAAAAGGAGATGAAAATCTTTAGGGGGGCAACTTATAAAATAACTTTCATTTTGCATGAATTTTAGTGCAGAGACAGGTTTTATTTTATCTTTCATCCTCTGGGATTAAAAGTTAGAGTCTGTAAGAATTCAGACAAACCAGGGAGATCCTCTGCAACTATAGCACACCTGCTTCCTGAGTCCATCTCTACAAACCACCATTCACCATGACAGTCACTGTGGGCTTTTAGCTCAACAACTGAATTGGCTCCATTTCATAACAGCAAACGCTGTAACAACTACATGGTGATTTCCGCTGTCATTATCAGTTGAGTCAAATTCTATAATCAGCCACGATGGAAGGCAGCCTGGCAGTAAAAGAGAGAGAAAGTGGTAGACTACACCTACAGCTCCTCTTGGGGCCAAGCTGGGTCAGCTACAAGACCGCCAGGTTGTTAAAACCTATTAATGGCATGGCGCAGAGTGCTCCAATGTACCACTGCAGTGCTACATTATTCATCACATCCAGAGCCAATTCAATGAATAACTTCCCTTTTTTGCCGAGTGTGGTTGCAAGCAAATGGTTTGGAGAAGGATGGATGATTTCCACTTGTTGTGATTTCTGTCCTTTGTTGATGTTTACAGGCAGAACCTCCACTCAAATCAATTGGGGGATAATCAAACAGACACATCAAACAGGCTGCTTGTTACAATGCCAAAGTTCCCAGAGAAAGACTCTCATTAAATGTGTTGGTTCACAAACAAGGTGAAAAGAAGCGACTCAGGCATGCTAGAGTTTTAATATCTAACAGGAATTCAGGCGAGGAGATGAAAGGTTAGGGATAGCTCCCACTTCATTCAAATTCAGCAAAACAGCAGCGACAAGACGGCAGCTTTGACGGACAAAGTGAATGTGTGTCCTCACACCGATTTAAAGGTTCCACACTCTCAGAGTTAATGGCTTTCTACAGCACTGTGTCAAATGCAGATTAGGCTGCAAAACACACTCTTTCAGCCTAGTCTTCCTGAAGTGGCAGAATCACAACCATCTGGGAGGATGACACTGCTGTTGTGTTTCATTGCTTCAGGAAGCAAATCTGTGTTCAGAGTGAACACCTGCATAAAATCAAAAACAGGAGGTGATTCTAGTGTGTTATTGCATCACTCACATATTTTAGAAGATAAAAAAAAAGATCAACTCTTAACTTTAATTTAATTAAAACACAAGGGGCATCGAAAATTAACCGCACTTTCCTTAAACCTGAACAGATTGCATTAATTCACATTGATAGTTAAGTTCAATAGTGAGTACCGCAATCCATAGGGGATATTTTTTATTTGTTATGGCCGCATTCATCTAGGTTTGAGTCAAACAAATTACATGTTCTCCTGCTGAGGTTAATGTCTGTTGATATGCAGCGCTCCAGCTATAATCACTCTCCGATGGAGCATTCAGACAAACAGAAGAAGAGAAGGTTTGACTCTCCGGGGCCTCTCTGCTCCACACTACCTGTTAATGCACCACAGTCAGTCAGTCTTCAAAAGACAGGGGCTGCCAGGGGAGGGTGAGGGGGAAGGTGTGTGATAGGGAAGAGTAACTTGGAAACAACGTAAAAAGCTCAAACAAAGAAAAAGAGGCCAAGCAAAGGTAACACAGTCTGATGCACTTGTTTCTGACAGAAAGTGGAAGGAGAGAGCAATGGAGAAAGGGACAAGCAGGTGGAGTATGTGCGGAGAAGCTGTTCTGATGGTCTCATTAAAATGGGTAGGCAGTAATCGGGCATGGAGTGAGTGATAGACCAGTTCGGGTACAAATGCAGGTAACAAGCTGCAACAGAGCACTCAGGAATACCAAAGAATGGTTGCAAGAGAACTGAGGCAACAGTAAGACACAATTCGGAAAATACCTGGGTGATGCTTGAAACACATTAGGCGCAATTCGTCAGACAGTGAGTGCGAATATAAGCAACCGGAGAGGAATGCTCGAAAGGAAAAGCAATTTCTAATATAGATGTAGCTATACCATCTTTCAATGGTGGTTTATATTAAATTCCCTAAGCATGGAGGCAAACTGCCCTTTTGTCCCAAGGCAGTGCTAAAGTGTTCGAAATTGGGTTAAGGGGGAAATAGCAGTCATTTTCTGAGCTCAAAACGGAGGGTTTTGCCTGGGAAAAAATGATGCGGAGGCCAGGAAAAGCAATGCAATCCATCTCTGTGATGATAGAATTACATAGGAAAAGCTTCAATAGAGCAATCTGCCCATTTAAAGAGATACAACTTAAGAAAGAGATTGACCCTTTATTAAATCAAATGTTCTTGCATGGAGGATAACTCCCATTTACAGCAGCATCACATGTGTAAGTGGAGTGGAAAGGTATCCTTCTGACCAAATCAGCCTTTTTTGAGTGGCGCCATTACTTTGGAACAGTTATGATTATACTATTTTTTTCTCTGCATTTTTCTAGTCAAAAAGAAACTTTTATCAAATTGATTAAAAGTGTGTCTAGATATTGAATCTTCCACTTTCTTCATTTTGAGTCTTTTTCGGGAAACATACAGCGTAAGAGATCTCTGGGGAAATGCAGCGCTGTTTTGCAGAGCATCGGGATTTCTCTTTATGGATTTACCTGGGACTCCAGGGCCTGGATCTTCCCCTCCAACTCTTTGATTCTCTCTTCCTTCTTTTGAGACTCTGCCTGGGCCTCCTGCCGTGCACTGAACTCCTCATCAAACTGAAAGAAAAGAGACACAAGTATGTCTATGTGCAGATAACAAACATGAGCCCACAGTTGTAAATACACACACACAGGTTGGTGAGCGGCAGGATGTCTCCAGAGAATGGCCGCAGGGCACATCAACAGACACCAAAAACATGCTGTCTTACACTCTCTGGCCAATTTCTATTCATAGCCCTCATGGCCCTAGAGCCCTGTTGTCCTTTGTCTTTGTTTCAGGCCTGGCTTTCATGTATGTTGATGGATCTAACCTTTGCAGAAACCAAGCCATGTCACTACAATGATTTCACTGGCGCAGCAGGGTGTAGCAGGCTGGTGGGGCAGGACTCTCAAGAAAAAAACATACCCAAGACCCCCCTGGTGTCACCAGACTGTGACAGTGAGGCTCCTTAAGATACATTTCAATATTATACACACTATGCTGTGGGTAAAGTCTTTCCTGGAATAACTAAAAATGCTATAAATTAACAAAAGATTTAATTTAACTACATTAAAAGAAAATTAGTAAGTTAAAGGGAGACGTTAAAATGTAGAACTATACGAAAACATCCTGCACATAACTTAACTCTGTCATGACATTGTGCACAAATAAGTATACATCACAACAACGGCATTGATTCGTGTAATGCTGATACGGATCATGTAGCGTCACAGCCAGGTATTGATCAGGGCATGGCAAATCAATAGCTTGTCTGGGAGCTCTGAGGAAGAAAAAAAACTTTCCTGATGGGAGGCGGCCAACCAGAGGCGCTGTAGGAGTGATTAATGTCTCACCTTTTTGGAGTACTCGGCAGCTTTCTGCTCACTCTCGTCAACTTTGGCTTTATCCACACACTGATCTGCAAAACAAGACGGCAACGGTCACGAGACGCTTCAAAGTCATCTCTGGGTGAGATGTGCATCACTAACTCCGCGTGGGAGATTTACCATTCGATCTGCGTCTTGTTTTCAAAGCACCTTAGAGCAAGTATGATCATTAATTCTATCTTTAAAAAACTGTGACGTCCATTAGGTGTTTACAACTTAAGATGGTCTTAAAAACTGTCATATATCACTGGTGCCCTTCAACACACCTAAGAATGCTAAGTGGGTTATGTGAAGGTTGCGTGTGGTTCTAACAAATATCGGCCAAAGCTTAGAGAGTTGGACCAAATCAACTCTTTGTTTTCCTCACTGTTTTATAAATGTTGTGTGTGTTTCAGTGTATTCAGTTTAATTTGGATGTATTTACAATTCTGATGACTTAGAATCAACCTGGAGATAAATTACCATAAGGACAGAGCGAGTGTAAATTATTATGAGATCACACATCGCATGAGACAAAACACATTTTCCCTCTAAAACATACTTGTTATTAGGATGGTACTCTCGAATGTGATAAAAAAAACGATCACAGTGAGAATTTAACAAAACACAACCTCGGAAGTTTTGTAACAGCTGATTAAATCTTGGCAAAGTAAGTGAGAAAACCTATTTTATACCGCTCTGTGGATAGGTCTAAAAACTTTTAATGACCCTTTGTTGGCAAGTCACAGATCTGTTGGTGACACAACAGAGAGACATGGTGGTGTTATTTATTTCATTTCTCTGTTTGAATCCTTTAGTAATTCAGTGCAAATAGATGTTCTCTGTATGATCCCAGGAACACATCTGACAAATAGCTAAGCTAACAAAGGCAAGTTTTAAAATAATACTGAGTTAACTTAAGTAGTTTTATCAGATGTAATGCATTGTTAATGAATAGGTGACCTCCCCGTCTTATATGTCAAGCCACTGCAGGTGTTTGTCAGTGGAAACTCAGGGGGATGTGGGAGGATAATGATAATAGCTTTGAGGTATTTTATTTATTGGCAGTGATGAAACTCCTGCAGCAGATAGTCTGTGAATAAGAAACAAATTGTGATTCTTCCCACATCATATTAACATTTCTAATTATTTTAAACATCATGAGTTAAATAAATGAAAGGAAACATGAAGCAATTAAAAAAGTACCAATCAGATGGGTGAAGTCGACGTCCAATCTTTTACTGTAGCCAAAGTCAGGGTCCATCCCGCTGCGATGCAGCACCACCTGAGACACGCATTCTTCTATCACCTTGTAGTACTGAGGCCTGACGGGTGAGGAAATATAAAGCAGAACAATTAGACAAGCCACAGAAAGATATGAGTGACACAAACTCTCCAAGGCTAATTAACCACACATTATTCCCTTATCCAAGCTAGAGGTCACTAAATGCCACGCGAAAAAAGGTGCTGCAGGAGAAAATAGACACCCTATTAAATTTGATCACTTGCTTCACCCCCATCATGAAATATGCAGATTAATGGGCACACAGGACGCGATTCTGTGTTCGTCTGTCCATTTCAAGGTGACAGACAGTGGCACAGGCTATGCTTGCCCTCTTGCCTAATTTGCAATCATCTTTGCCAATTAGAGCAACCATAAAAACTGAAATGTAAATCTAATCAGTGTAATGTGTGTAATTGAAAGCACAATGACCGGGAAAACATGTCATCCAGTTAGGAGTGTGACTGAGAGCCCGGTGCTGCTGTGTGTGAATCAGTCCCATCCCACCACACAGGTTGGTATGTGACCTTTCCTCAGTAACATTATCAACTTAAATTGCAAGTGACATTTAATAAATAACAGCTTAAGCTGAGCTCCAAACTGAGAAATCATTATTTTCTAAGAATGACATTGACGGACAGTTTATGTTTAAATATGCAACATAAACAACTAGATTCAATTTATTTTTCTCTTAAGAGTGAAGATGCATTTTTTGCATATCAAGAGTTATACTGAGATGATAGATGTGGGAAATTGACTCTTGAGGATTCGCTGGAGTGATGCCTAACAAATTATCCAAGAAAAATTTCCTAAACTGGGAACAATGAACTCCACGTGGGCGTGACCAACTAATTGTTCTAATTTGCTTAATGGCTGGGCAATTGGGTGGGTGCAGGGCGGTGAGGTCTGCAATAGCAGGATGAATACATTACTAGCAGGAGGAATACAGTTTTGGAAGCTGGAGTAGGGACAGCCTTCTGATTCGACTGGCAGCTGATGTTCCTTTAATTTACACAAAATCTTTCATGTATATTAGAAAGCATTGGATCTTACATGAGGCAGACAGTGAGATTCACAAGGTACAGCTGTACCACTATAATTTATTTATTTATAAAACTTTTCAAAGTGTGCTTGTGTGATGTATCTGCATTCAAACATAAGGGACAGGAGCACAACATGTTTCTAAAACATAATGGTTGTTTTGAGCAAGCAGAACTGTGAACAAAGTGCCGAATGGATTAACTTGGTGCAAACCCAATAAAAGCATGTACTGTCTATCTAAGTATGTGTCTAACTTAAAAGTAACACTGGTGATAAACAGCAAGTTGTTATTCCCAAACATTAGCTTCTAAGTCTTTGACTCTCACTGTTGCCCACAAACTAAAGGCTATGTTCTGTTGGTACCTTGTGGGTGGACAGGCCACATCATGTTACAAACAGGAACATGAAAGAACACAAAATTCTGAGCCAAAGCAAATAAGAAATCAGCATTTAGGTGCCCTGTTTTCAAAGCATGAAATACCATACATTAAGCCTGAGCTGGCGGATTCGCCCACTCGTGACTGGAACAAGCTAGTGAAAGCTCACACATCACCCTGCATGGCTTAAGCACTGTGGCACTCGGCTTACAACTGTCACCAATGTACACCACATTATTATCTCAATAAGCCGCCCTATTTTCCCTTCGTCCTCCATCCGCCACCACCAAGCAGATAGGAGCTGGGTGGAGATAACTAGAGATGGAGAGTGTGACCCAGAACTGTCAGGCCCCTCCACAGTGGGCAGGGCTGGGCTCCAGAAGCAAGCATATGCCCCCCTCCTGCATCATTCCCCACCTCTTCTTTTACTTTGGCACCTTCATTTCTTCCAATGATAGCTTGCAGTTCAGCACAGCCGCAGCCACTTGATCTAGCTCCGCTCCACATAACCAGTGTAATCCCCATATCGCCAGGCTGCAAAAGAGCAGATCTGCTCTATATTTACTGGGTGGGTTTGATGTGCTCCCATTCATTAGGCTTGCAGTGAGAGATTAATTATCAAAAATAAACCAAGCCCTGGAGGGGGAGAGCACCAACTTGTGTTGTGTTAGGAAGAACGACAGTAGACAAAGCTATTGAAAAGTCCGCCCACCGTAGACATCCTATTATTAAAATACTAATTATAATATTTAATAAGAATCACCATTTAATGGGCTATTATTTGAAACAGGATCAAGGTGCCAAGTGTGCTATCAGGTGCAATGAATACAATGCTAAGAAACAACGTAGTCAATTTTCTCAGGTATGCAGAGCACACATACACTCGTTTGATCACAAAGTCTGTCAAACCTTTAATCAGCCTACGACTGCCTCCATTAAAGGACTTCCACTGGAACCACGCGTCGTCTGACCTCCCACTTTGTTTTTCTCTCATTTTGTGCAAATCCTGTATTCGTGTTTTATTGTTTTACTTTCACCCAATTTAAGCCAAAACATGGAAAAAGTGGTAACTTTGAAAGACTGGAAACAAAATCCATTTGAATAGCTGTGTGTGCTGTTGTACATCATCATTATCATCAACTCCACAGCATTGATGGAACGGGAATATAACACCTAAGCCAGAATATCTGATGTTCTGTGTGTGCACATGTGTCCTTGCATTTGTGATGGAGGCAAAAGGAAAAAAAAAGATGTTTCTAAAACCTTTAAAAAGACCATCAGTTATTTTAAGAGCTGTGGTACTGATGCCTTCTTATTGCTGGCGTACAGTGGGGGGTACATGGATACTGGAGCCAAGGTGGACGTACTCGCCGATTAATGTGAATTCTATTTCTTGCTTCTTCCAAGTAGATGAGGAATACATTATGCATAACTCCAAGGGAACAGCAACTTGTCTATGGTAAATTCATCTTCTTCCTCTCATCCTCCCTTCGACATCCAACTTTCCTTTTTTAAAACTTGTTTCTGAAAAAAGGCCTAACACAGCAGTAAATTCATCAGTGTCATTACTATTCAGAGAAGTGGCAGCCCTCCTGTCGATGACTGATATATCTGCTCTTCATAGAAAGTAGAGGTAACATAACACTTTAAGATGATTGATTAGTCCCAATTAACACAATAACATCCTCACTCTGATCATGTTTCTCCACTTTCCTAGTTACAGATTAAATACATCTGGGCTACTTTCAACACACAGGTTAGAATATAAGATAGAGTAGGAAGTTGTTTTTTTCCAACTTTGAACTCATTTTCAATTCTTTCAAGTCTGGAGCTGCAGAATAAAAACGACCTCATAATCTTGGTGTCATATCCAACTGTATTTCCTCCTCCTGGTTCAAGGCTGATGGGTCAATTATTAGAATAGTTTCAGTGAATAAAATTGGTGGAGATGACAGCGGTGTTGTCTTAATTACTAATGAATAGGTTGGATGTATTTCAGGTTTTACATTGGCTGACATCTAATGTAGCCAATGTAATTTTATATGAGCATGGATGGTAGGTTTTAGTATTTGTTCTTACATACGTTCATCGTGTTTCATTTATTTTCTGCCTATGTGAGTTGCCCTGGACGACAAGACAAATATTCTCTTCAAGAACAATGAGGTTAAATGTCAAGTTGAATTAATGAATATGAGTTTATTAGATTTATTTATCTGTAGCTTATTACAGGGTTTCTGCAGGGCTCAACATATTAAATGTAAGACTTTATAAGACCTTCTTAAGACCATAATCAACGATACTGAAGACCTATGTTAGGTATGACAGATATGAAGAAATATTAGAGTCTCACTTTCCCATTATTAAAGAAAAGGTGAAGTATTTCAGTAGAGAAAAACCCTGGAAATACCATTTTAACTACAGGCTGAAAACTTAGGTATCTTTTGTTTTCCCCGCAGCCAAGTGTGGCTCAGTTCCATTTTAGTCTTGTTTGTAGCTTTATTTCAGCGTGCTAAAATGTTTAATGTTTAAAATATATGCAACTATGACCTAACCGGGACCTACCTTAAAGTATTTAAAATCTAGTATCTAATATTTTACATTTAAAACGTTTTTAAGAGCTAAAATTTAAAAATATTTGACTTGAGACCCTGAGGAAACCCTGTTAATAGGCCTCTCACTTTTTGTGAGGATTAATCTACATACAACTGTATTAAAACTCTGCTTCTACTGTTCTAGCGATGTTGGTCAAATCCAATAGGACCCACTGAGTCATTAACTATTTCCTGTAATGAACAGATAAGATCAGAGTTATGTCCAAGATGTTTCATAACTAAGGAAAAACACAGAAAAGGAAATTTAGAAAGATATGACTGTAGATGCACAACGAGGAGCACAATGAAGTTGTAAGTCAATAAAACGCAGTGGGATGTAATAATCACACACAACCTACCTGATGTAATAGTCATTCCTGATGAGCAATAGGTGCTGAAGGATGGACAGGAAGTATGTCTCTGAGCCGGTGTCTTTCACCATATTGGACAGGAGATGGTATACTTCATTCATATCAGTACAGGAGCACAGTTAAGGAAAACAACATCGCCACAATATTACAAGTTCACTTTTTCACTTTCTGAGATAAAAGGGCAGGCAATTATGTTTAACTTCTTAAAAACAAACATTCTGAGTTCATTAGGGTCATCTAACTGCTGTAAACATTGCATTTTTTTAGTTCTGGTTTTAACATTTTATTTATTTTTCCCAGTACCTCACTTCACTTTCTCTGACAGGCATCATTGTGCAAACGCAGATGCGTTTCCTCTTATCCGCTCTCTTGGGGGAGCTAACAGCTAACTTGAGGAGGGGGGTTGAAAATAAAGAATTCTCCCTCTGGTTTACCTGTCACTCTGAACCTTTTAAGATTGTGGAAATTAATTACATGAAAAACTCACTAGTGTAGCATTTGAGGCAAGAATGATGGAGAGCCGAACATGTGCAGGCCAAAAATACGGCTGATATTCGGTCTTCAGATTGAAACTGACATGTACTCAGGAGCAAAAATTCATGTTATTAAATTTGCAAAAGGTATTGATTATGTGTCTTACGTTAGCTTTCCCCAGGAGAAAGCAGTGATGGCTCTGACATCTAAAAGAGATGTTAAATCCGACTACCTTACTTGTTATTCTTCCACGTTTGAATACTGTGTACTACATATATTTCATGAATATTTGCAGAGGATTTGGTTTCCAAAGTGTTTGCGAATGAGGCTTCTTCAAAGAAACAGAAAAGTGTTCGAAATGTGAGAACTACACGGTAATGGAGAAGAAAAACATTTACATAGTCACAGTTAAAAATTTCAATTCTTAAATAAATTGATTATTTGTAGTACAAGGGTAATTTAGAAGTGAATAAACACATGTTTCTCAAACTTCTAAAAGTGTTCTTGAAGTGTAGTAAGAATCCAGGAAAATGAATGATTTGGGGCCCATTTAATTTGTTTGCTTGAGGAAGGAGGATTTCCCTGTGGACACTCGTCTTGTTTGAAAAAGTGGAATAAGCCTCTCAGATATGTGCACACATGCAGAAAAAAAACAAGTCTGTTCACTGTTAAGCTCACAGAGATGAAAACACAATTGCCATCATAACGCAAACTGTGAGTCTTGACAATGAGTGCTAAATTATTTACATGGTGCTACATACTGATTGGAAAGTGGCATTTTAAAACGGTGGCAACATATGTTCAGATTCTCCTCCCTTCTGCTTTTGCAACAGAAAATGTCATTTTAATGAATATGTAAAAACTTTTATGTGGCTGAGCTTGAGGAGCTAAACAGAATTAAAGTCACATTTAGGCTAAACACATCACCGGAGCAACATTTGTTGTACGCAAACGAGGAATGACGGCTGATTGCGTGGCTTTGCTAATATAATGGAGCCAAAACACCTGACATTTAAAGATAAGGACAAATCAAACTAATATGTTCTCAAGGGTAAATCTGAAGGTTTTGCTTATATAAAATATTATTTATCAGTCTCATCCACAGCTGGTGAACAATGATTCTATGAGAGGATCAATAATTCCGATTACTCTTTTTTTTTTTTCCTATTAATTTCAACAATGTGTGTAATTAAACTCCTATCCCATATCAAATTTTTAGAGACAGAGGGGTGGGAATACAGGCTACTCTAAAGTATCATTCCCCTCCCTTGTATTAGCTGAGTATGAAGCCTGGGAGAATTACCAATCCTGTGAGATTCAATTATAGCCTCACCACAGCAGCATTTGAGAGGACATGAGAAGGAGCTCAGACTGGGAAAGTATCCAACTAGCTTCATCTATCACTAAGCTGCAGACATAAACCTAATGTAGAATGCCAATCCAGTCGATGACACTCCCTCTAAGCTTGCTTTCTCTCCCTCTCGCTCGCTCCCCCGTCTCTCTCTCTCTCTTTACACTCTCTCACCAAATAATGAATAAACATGAGCAGCAGTCAAGTGTGATGTAGGCCAGTCAGCGGTGGGGTCAATCAATCACCATTCCACAGCTCATTAATATGTATTAGTGGCCTGGAGTCACCTCCTCAGCACCTGGTCTCGGGCCGGACACAGAGGATGCGAGCCGCTCCAGGTTAATATTCATGAAACTGCCGGAAGAAACAAGACACATATGCAATGCTCAGGTTGTAGGAGTACAACCTGCGTGATGTGTGTGTGTGTGTGTATGTGCGTGCTGTGCAGGCAAAGGGTAGCCTAGGCATTCGAAGCATGCTCTGAGCTCACAGATCAATACCGCATTGTCCTTGGAAACAAACACTGGGCCTACTCATTTGTGAACCTGCTCAAGCACATCATTAATCCAGGTCTACTTTTTTTCTCTCTCCATCTTCTCTCCACACACATACACAACCTCCTCCCATAAACTACACGTGTCAACAGAAACTGTCACTCACTGCAGAGCTTTGTGCCCTCACGAGAACTATGGGATTTGGTGAAAGAAAAGGTTGTGGGAATGAAAATCTGCATAACAATGTCAGCGTCTGGTTCGTCTGCTCACAATGTCAGACATCCATACATAGCCTGAGAGAAGATTTGTGAATTATTAAAAGGGTTCTTCTCTGGGATGCTTGAAGAAGTTTCTATCTGGGGACTGAATTACTGCTCAACTTATTAAGTTCTACTCTGCATTTTTCAGTGGAGAACCTGTACACGCCAGAGTTCCACTCCTTATGGATCCAAATCTCGATAAAACTACGACACCTCTGCATAGCTCGCAGACATTTCCCCTTCCACGAAAGAGGACATTTTTAGAGACAATTTCTTGTAAAATCTTTTCAAGCCCTGATACTTATGATAATGTGGTGCTGATGTACCAAAAGATGAGGTATTCTCATTTGTGAAACCTTTACAAATTAAGTATAACTTCACAAGATGCTCTACATTCCTCATTTGTATGCAGATCTTCTGATATTCCCATTCTCAAATGACAATATGCCCAAGAGTATGATTTTATTGTCCTCACTATACTATATTTCATAACATGACTCTAAATGGTCGTCATACTGAGAATATATAACCAAATAAATGCTAAGAATAAGAAATAAGACTTTTATGTTTCTTAAGTACAGCCCTACTTGACCTAATACTAACAGACTGAGAATAAAAAGTGAAGAGGAGAAGAGGATGGGAAGAGTAAATAAAGAGGAGCTAACAGGTGGGAGGTTAAGATGACAGGGGTTATTTACCCACTATTCCTGCTCAGAGATGGAGCTGGACAATGTGCTCTGGCTCCTCAAATCCCTCTCTAATGAACCAAGCCACGAGGGGCTTAAGCCTGTAAAGCTTGACCAAACCCACAATCGACACTCATCTCTGCCTGCCAGTTCTGCAGGCATATTCATCAGTGTATTCACACAAGGGAGGACTAAAGGATATTCCATCTCAGCGCGGATGTCATCCAGGCGATGGGAGAGTTCAATAGAGTCCTCCTCCTTGTTCTCATTGAACACCTTCAGCTGGATGTCAAGTTCCTCTGTCTCTTTTAGCTCCTGAAATAAGTTACACACACAGCAGCAGACAGTTGAGAATGTTAAGTCACACAAAAGGTCATCTCGATATGTAGATTTAGGAAACACAGCCAAAGCACCTTCAAGGAAATATTTAGATATTGTTTCTGAAAATGTGATATTCCTATCTTTGAATTTTTGAATCTTTGAGTCAAGAAATTTACTGCACATGTTACCTTAAACTGAATATATATATATTCTGAAAGTATGTAGCACAAGAATGTGAGTTTCTCTGTTCCAGCTGTAGAGAGAACCTGGAACTGACCTAAACCCTCTGACTATGTATTCCAGACAGTAACTATTCCTGCACCTGTTCCAGCCACGAGGGGCTACAGGGCTGCTCTTTACCACTTCTCTATGAATCACCAGCAGTGGAGTTTACAGACAGAGACAGGGCCAAACGTAACCCAATTTCTGCAGGTATCAATCACCCTGCACTGTTTTTTGGCCGCACCATCTGTCTCAAGCAGCTCTGGTTCGGAGGGAGGCGCAGAGAAAAAAGGAGAGTGGGAGAAGAGAGGGAGGGCAAATATATGCATCAAGGACTGTAAGAACAAAACAAACTGTGCTTCCCTTTCCAGTGGAGTCCACTTTCCCCTGCCAACAGCTTCACTGACTCCTGAGCATAACTCATAATTAGATGAAAGAGTGTCAGTTTGAATGTCGACATTAAAACCAGGAACGTGGCATTCATAAATGACTGTACACTGAGGCTCTTTCATATCAGGGGGCAGAATTGAAGATAATTAAAGTAATGACAGTAATAATCAACAGGAGCAGCTGGGATGACTTATTAGCAACTGGCTTTGTGACATGTTCACCCCACTCACTACAAATGAGAGCTTGAGTGATGAGCTGGAGCTCGTTTGCCTCCACCTCATGTGAAGATGTGCAAGATGTCTGATAATTATGCCAAGACGAGACGACCTGTGCGATGAGGTACGAGCACTGCATCACACTTGACCCACTACTAGTTATACTGCAAGTACAGTTACCAATTAAATTAGCATTACAAAACCAACCCGTATTAATGTCAGTTGTGTCACATGTCGACTCCAGAGCTTGTGATTTTACACCTTTACTATTTGGTTTTAAAATTATGAATATTTAATCTGGGCATTATCAGGTTAAAGCACAAACTTTAAAGTTGGCTCATGACAGAAAATCTATGAGCATACATTAAATATAGTCTAGGAAATTCTATGAGTCTGAATGAATCAAGGTGGAGCTCTTTAGTAGTAGAGATTCAAACTGTAACGTCTTATGCTGTGGAACTACAAATCAGCTGGGAAGAAGTACAATGTCTAAAAATATATAAATGTTGAGTGTGTAGTAATCTGACTTAAATTAATTGACAGCTGACCTCAGGAACAGGACAAGAACGCTTATTTCTAATGCATGTGAATGATTTAACCATGTGCTATCTGATAGTCTAATAACTCACAGGCAGGATCTTCTTGAGGCCACATCTCAAGAACTCGTTCCGCAGATGTATCCGGAAGTCGAGGTCATCCGGGGAAGTGACCAGAGCATTGATCAGCTGCATGCAGGCAACCTGTGGTGGAAACAAAAAAAACATCACGTTGGATGAAAACAGGAAATATTTCTGGCAAAGCATCCGCATATAAAATCACTGAGCAAAAATTGATTGTAAGTGAATGATTTATTTGATCATAAAGCAAAACAGAAATGATAGAAAAGAGAAGAGACTGCGATGAAGAGGGTAGAAGGGTGAAGGTAGAAAAAGAGCTGAAGAGAAACAGTAAAGGTCTGCTGCGTGTATTGACTATATGTGTATTATTAATGAATTTATTGGTAAGGAAAAACCTTTCAAGTAGGTGTTGTGTTTCTGTGCGTGTGATGTGTGTAAGATTGGGTTAAGAGGAAATTGCTGATGAATTATAATGAGCAGAAAGGGGTTTCAGGGGAGCGAGCCTTGGATAACACAGTTTTCCTTGGACAGACGATCGATAGGAGGCTGAAGGATTCCCATGGACAATGTGAAGCGTTGTCTTCAAGAACCTTGACCCGGTGCTGTTGGCTTGTATGTGTTATTAATAAGAGCCACAACAATGCTGGTGGTCTGTGTGGTTTTGTGAGTAAGTTTTATTATTTTTCTGGGGTGGAATTTATCAACAGTTTCACCTAAATCACAGCAGACAGACCTGCATAAGCAAAAATAAATGCAGAATAGCAGAAAAATGAAGTAATAATGAAGTAATTTCCTCCATATATATGGAGCAAAATACTTTCTAAATTATATTTCTTAAAATTATGTGTAAGTCATTATTACTTAAATCATTTTCCACACTTTTTGCAAACTAAAATTAATTCTTAAAACCATATTTACCTCTGTAAAGGAGGATATGTTTCTATTGGGTTCTGTCTGTTAGTTAGCAGCATTACATTACACAAAAAGTACTGGACAGATTACCATGAACCTTGGTGGAAATATGTGGTTTGTGCCAATTTAATTTGGTGTGGATCCAGATTAGGGGGCAGATCTAGGAATTATTTAGTTTTTTGTTTCACATTTTGAGATGGGCTTTTTTTTCTTATGTTCTCCAATTTCCCAGAGAATAACTCGTGGAGGAAATGAAAAAATTTGGCATATTTAGAGATCTGATATCTATGATTGTGTACAATTTGGTGGGACATGACAGAATTTAAGGGGACTATTGGGCCTTGGCAGAGATATGCACTTCTTCTGAGTGATATTCTTGTTCATTAGAGCCACAATCAAATAAAGCTGGTTTGTTTTTTCTGTTGCCTTAAAATTGTAGCAGAACAATGAACATTTTGTTTGCCAGATATGGGGGGTAAGGATATAAGATACCGTATAATCTATTTGGAAAGCTTGTTACAGCAAAGGATGCACCATCACACTGAATGTGCTACCAGTGTCTGCTTCCCAAAACATGGCAAACTTCCCCATGTTCCAGAAAAGCTTGAGGGCCTCTAAGCAAGATCTGTGCATTGACATGTATTGCTGTATCCAACAGAGGCCAGATACATAAAAGAAACTCCACCAAATCTTCACAGGATTTGTGTGAGTGAAGAAAGCCATGGAGCTCATGAAAAATTCTCTCTCTTCTCCTGCATACAGATAGATACTTACATCAAGCACCTCAACCATACCTCAGCCATGTATTGTGGAGCGGGAAGTGGTTGGGTTGGAGATGGGGGCATAATTTGTGTCAGGTTTACAGAGTGTTGCCATAGGGGGTTTTCTAAACATCGTAATCAAAAGTGGCACTGCTGGGACGAATTTAAACTTGAAATGTTGAGTTTCTCTCGTGCTCAGCAGATGAGCGTAGCCTGCACTACAGCAAAACACATTTTAATCACATTAACAAAGTGTAGTTCTACAGCCCATCACAGGTTTTGGATAAAAAGTCAATTAATTTCCTTGAGCCCCCTGCATCAGCAAGGCATTTTAATTTACTTCACAATTAGAAGAGCTTCATTTCATTAACAGCAAAATTTAAAGGAAAAACAACAGCCTCCTAATAAAAGAATATCTACTTTCTCTTCCACCATCCGCCTCATCAGTTTCCCTTCATGACTTTTCCTTCACGACTTCCCAATCCCTGCAGTTAAAAAAGTAATTCCTTAAGTAATTCCCTACTTTTGGTTTCACAAAACCATGTTTTAAGTGGTGTTTTTACTGCTGTTATATAGTTTTCCTGCTGCTGGAGAATACTAATGGAAATGAAGAGCGGTAGGTTGCTGTATTTGCCCTTTCACACCGAGTCCTCTGAGACCCGACTTGACAGGAGCGTGGAGAAAAAAGAATGGGGAGGAATCTGTAAGATGTGAAAAACAATGAGCTCGGCTGTGAGAAGAGGAAAAATGTGAGAAGGAATGAAAACAGACAAAAAGCTGAGAGGAACTCCACATTGCTGCTTTTTTTTTTATATTGTTTTTCTGGTGTTCGCACAACGATGGGTAGTTCAGCCGAGGCACACAATGAAGCAGGTGTTTTTGATTAAAACAGTGGTGATGGACCTCTGGGAACATTTCAATAGCCCCACCATCACATCCCATCATGTGCTGGAGGTGCTGTGGGGTTGACAAGTGGACAGGAAGACACAAAGAGAGACAGAGAAAAACACATGTATGGAGACAGCTGAGGCTGAGGTACAACGGTCCCCAGAGTGACACAACTGTCAATTTCAGTCTTGTCTCTCATCAGACGGGGTCTCCATGACAAAAACTGAATTTGAGTGAGTGACACTGGACTAATTAGTGTTCAATTAATCGGTGAGGAAAAAGTATTCCACAGAATAATATTGAATTGTGTGTGATTCAGTCATTATTGTGATTTTTCTGAATTTAGTTATTTCTGATTTTATTCTGTAATTTAAAATGACATGATTGCATTAGTCATTAGCATGGCCATTGAACTATGAGGTCAGGATTATGTAATAGCAGGGTAGTGAAGAATGCATGATAATTATGAAACTGTAATGTTGAGTGCTTTTTTCTGAACGACCACTGACCTGGAGCTGCTGCGCTTCATGGTTCTCCAGCCCTTCAACGATTGGGGCAAACCTCTCTTTATTGTTCCTCTCTGCAGCAATTGTCATGGCAGCTAGAATCTTATCCAAGCTGGAAGAAAACAGAGAGCAGGGAGCAGGCAAACAAAAAAGTCAACAAACACTTTTATCACCTCACTGACAGGACATTTACTCACAATTTTCAGCTCAAACACCATGTATCTTATCTTCCCCTGTGTATCAGTGTGGACAGCCAGTCTTTGGTCACGCTGACAAATGCTGCTGCTTTCCATCTCTTTGTATATAATTTGGTCCATTATTGCTTCAGTATCTAATTTTGACTTCATCATAGTTGTTACTAAGGTGATGCTCGACAAAAGCAGGGATTTGGTTGTGTTTGGTTGGATGAGAAGGGGCTCAGATGATTGCAGAGACCGCCAGACTAATGTGCAAATACACCTATTGAGAAGTAAGCAAATTAGAGTACTTGCAAGGGCCCCAGGCAGCTTGGCTAAATAGGACATTGGACAATTTCAGCCTCTGAATCGTGAATGAAAGAGAAAGTTTGAGCCACACAGACAGAAAAACACACAGAGGACTGCAATAAAAGTAAATTGATGTTTTCTGAGCACTTACCTTAACAGTGATTTGCAATATGAATACACAAAAACTGGCAACAGGTGGCCTCTCTGTCACTGCAGGGTCCCTTTTTGCTATTTTACCTTCATTAGTAGAGCAACTGAACAGCTTAACACCCTTGTCCTCAACCATTATATTTCTGTGCCTACAGAGCCCTTAGCCTGAAATACAAGTTCCTCTCTGTGTTAAATCAAATAACAAATCAATAGTCACACTCGGCCAGATATTGAAATGCATGCGTGTAATCACACATGCCACTGAGGCTGTTGCTATTTTCATTACCTTGTGTATATCAACCCAAAAAAGAACACTTTCAAAATGACAAAACAGTAGCCGCTTTTTGTGAGCGAGGGAGATCATCTGTCTGACAAATAGGATTGTACGTGTGGAGTAAGCCTGACACAGAGATAAATTGAACGGCCATGCTCTGTGATAGGGGTTAGAAAGTCACAGACAAGCATGGGGGGCTGCATACTGAGTAACTTTAAAGCCAGTTCAGATGACGCTTCAAAACAGGCGAGATAGATCTGCTTAACTTGTTGTGTTCCCGTTTGATGCTGTCAGCTGAAGTGGGTGTTGAACATGAGCCAGCATCACAACATTGGTTGGCAGAGAAGTTTGTGAACAAGAAAGTGGCGCTCCAGCTCCTTTAGCTGTCATTTCCACAAGATACGTGCATTTAATGTAGGGCTATGATCATGGAAACAATCTCAATGTTTACTTCAATGTCTTCTTGAGCACTTTGACAGTGCAAAGAGAGAGATTCGTACTAACTACATATCCAGTATCTGCTTAAAATAGTTGCATGCATAAAATTCCACTGTGTAAACTTAACAAGACTGAAGTCATTTCCAGAAACCAATGAAGTAATTGACTGTTAAAATAAAAGAGCATTTCTGTTCCATTGACCCCAAAAAACTGAACATTTTCAAATTAGTAGAAAGCACAGCTGGTGATGAGGGGGTGTTATGTAGGAGCAGCTAGTAATTTGTAACAGTGATTTTCGAGAAATTATTCTGAAACTGTTCTAAACAATAAAAATGCTCTTGAAGTCACCTGAAATAAAAAATAAAAAAGCAAATAGATTCAATTACTGTAAAGACAAAGATTCACACCCCTTGATATTCTTCAACCTTTGCACAATGAGGGTCAGAACTACAAAAATAAAAGTCTATTTCGATGGTGTAATGTACAGACACACCCCGTCTCCAACAGAATTTGTGGGTTAGTTTATTTCCACCACTGCATAAACTGACTTTGAAGTGCCATTGTTATTCTAGTCTGGCCCTGTGGGAAACAATAAAAAAAAACACTCCCCTAAATCCAATTTATAAGCTGTCAGCCAGGTTGTGTATCTGTGGCAAACTACACTGAGTAGTTCAACACATTAAACAGACTAAACTGCATCATCTGACCATGTGACTCAATAGGTTTCTGTACTGTCTGAGGTCAGCCTTAACTGCACTATATGTGCACACTGTGAGTACACATGTATGCCTGTGGCACTATCCCTGTATGAGTACATGCCCCCCTGTGGGAGAGGATTGTAGTATTTTTGATATTCCAGTGTTTACAAGAAGCAACCATCCCTCTTGGTGTTCTGGAAACACTGTGTGTAAACATAGCAGAGATGGACCACACCACTTTCATCACTGGACTTTTTCTTCTTTTTTGTCATTAGTCAGGATTTTAAAATGATGTTATGAGGTTTCCCAAACAGCTGTTATTTACTGAGAAAAGTGTCCCTCACTTTATTCTGGATTCTGAAAACTTGCTGATAACTTTTAATTGTGGAAAGGCAAAAGTACTGATATGGTTAGTTCACCCATCAAGCAAAAGCATACTTTTATGTTTATTTCCAACAATTTGCAGATACCTGATGCTGAAACTTCTAAACCAGATGAAAATAGTTTGAATATAAACACTCCACATAAAGGTTCATGTAAACTACAGGGCTGGTATGAACCCAAGTGGCAACCCACCGTAACATTACCCATTGGTTTGTGAACTGCTGTTTCATATCTCGAGTTTGGCATTTTGGCCTGTGCTATTTTTTTCATTTTGAAACGTGGGGGTTTAAAGCGAGGATACTGAACGCCCACCTACACCTGCAACAAGAAAAAGAAAATTCGACCAAGTAGCCTTCTAAGCACTTCTTTTTTACAAATATAACACTGGCAATTTTCCAACCAGTGAGTTCAGTCAGATAAGAGCATATTGATCAACCAAACGACCGGTCAAACTAAAGAGTATACACCCCTCGTGAATTAAACTGATTGTTCAGTCTTTTGTTGTTTATT